ATAATTTATTCCCTTGGTTATAGGGTTATTGGGGTTTGGGTTCATGGGCTTATTAGGTTGGGATATCATTGGGTTAAATGTTTATAGGATTTGGTTAATTGGATGTAGCGTTGGAAGCTTGAGTCTTAAGGTTAGGTATATGGTTTAATTGTTCAGAATATCGTTGTTTTTTTTTGAGGTTTTGAAAAATCCTTAGGCGATGGGGTTAAATGGAAACAAAGCAAAAACTTTAATTGATATTAATAGTAATTTCCTCGCGTATTTTACGTAAAATGAAAATTATCCCTAAATACCTCTGACCATATTAAAGTACTGCCGACCAAGAAAAACAATAAAAAATAATGGTTACAATTTATAAGTACATAAACCTATACTTTAGATATTTTGATTATTAAAAACTTAATTCATAAGAAATCCGTGAATTCACAATAGTGTGAATTGCGAGATAGTAAAATTATTTTATATTCCAAATAATATTTTCAATTTCGCTGTTTTTGTGATAAATGCGGTTTATTCATACGAAATGTTTTAGTAAGTACATCTGAATGATTTATTTTTAAATCATAATTTATTCATTGCAATACTTTTAAATTGAAATAAAATATAAATTTACAGTTTGTTATTAATAAATACCGTTATATCTTTTGTGATAAATACTCTCGTTGATATTAGTGTTGAATTAAATTAAATAATTAAATTTCACAGTGATTGTAGTAGATATTACGGTTTTATGTTTTTATGAAATAAACATAATTAATTAAAATTTAATAACACACAAGTCGCATTAATATTACTGCATTCTGGAAACTTAAAAGTATGATACAAACATTTCCTATTATTTATTTGTAATTTGATTTTTCAAAACTATGAAAAAATCAAGTACTTCTATGTTTATCAATTTTTCAGAAAATAATCAAAATACTTTTCTGTTAAGACGAGCAACTTAAAAAAAAAACTACTTTTAACACTTAACTTTTTTTATTTAGGATTTTCCTCGTATAAAGAATAAAAAGGAAACAAATTTCTATATAAATTATTCCATAAACCAGAAGGACTAGTTCTGAAAATGATTTCATTGCCTAACCTTTTGCCTAACGAAAAATATCCCTGAGAAAGTAGATTATTTAATTTTACAACAAAATTGTATTGTATTATTTTCTTTATAAAAGCTTCATATTTGTCACTATATTTTATTACTATAATTACTTTATATTTTTGTTGAAATGTTATTGAATAAATGTAATTGCGATGATATTATACACATTCGTTTGAAGCCGGTACAAAAATCTCGTTTAGTTATAAATTTACCAGTTTAAATTAATCTCTATCCATCAAATAAAAATTGCTTAGCACGCTCTTTTATTTCTTAATATAGTTTTCTGCAGTGTCCTAAATATTAGATTAAATGAATATTTAACGGTTCGTTCTCATTTTAGCTGTTATCGATTCCCAACTTTATACCATAATAGAAGAATCCTGAGTCGACCCCTAAGGATGGAAAAAGTTAATGAGTCACGACGTTTTTGGAGGGCGCTGTTAGTAAATTAACGGAATTGCTACTTGTTTATTCATATCGCTTTCGGTTTCTGCGGTTGCTACCGCGTGTGAAAGTTGGAAGAACTCCTGAAAAAGTTATAACTTACGCAACCGAAGCTCGTTACTGCAAATTTAAAAAGTTAAATGTATAAGCGTATACTTAACTATCGGTAAATAACGATTGGTAGAACTTAATGCATACAAAGGAAATATTGAATATGATAATATCTGAGTGTAAGATATAAAAAAGAGAGCCAACAGTTAACAGCCCTGTCTTCTTATGTACATTCCATAAAAAATTAATTAAAAATAATGCCTGTGTATTTCATTTAATGTTATTTTCCTACTATCGAAAAAATATTTCACCTGCCTTCCTGCAATAAGTAATATCTCCAATAAGTGTCGTAGCAATATAAATGGTGGTGGTAAATAAAAAGTGGTTTAAATATCAGATAAAGATTAAAATTGTTAATTGTTTTAGCCACTTTCACGATCAGTGTAAAATTTAACAGTGTATTTACATTATAACTTTTTAACATCTAATAATTATTTATTCATAATAGCTCTTAAAACTGGTTTATCTATTGATAACGGATATACAGGGTAAGTCATGTTTTTGTACTTAAACCAACAGACGATAGTAGGTGAAAAAAGTTCAAATAAGCATACACAGTCCGGCTATTAAGTTTTAAGACTGATTTTATTGTGGCGCTACCTATGTGCGGTCTACGGAACTATGCAGTGAGAAACCTTTCGAGTGACCGAACAAAATTTCATCAGTATACGTGTATCTACCACGAAGTTATATTGTTCTGCATGAAGCAAATTTTTGACAACCATGTAAACGCACACTGAAAAGCGCACAGCAATCAAGTTCTGTTTTAAAGCCAATAAAACAGCCACGGAAACATATCAACTGTTACAAACATCGTGCGGTGAGGAGTGTGTATCGTGTCTAACACCCGTTGCACACATGCCGGAACCGGCTAACCGGATCCGGTTACCCGACAGCAAGGTGTACAGAGTCTTATGCACCATTGCCAGTCCGGCTGCCGTGTACCGGCTAACCGGTGACCAAACTGGTAGTAGTGCGTAGTTTTGTATTGAGGCTTTCACACTTACCGAGTCCTTGCCGGGTTCAGTTATCCGGTTTCATTGAAAAGAACAGGACGTGTCGATTATTTTTTTAAATATTTGTACGCAACTATGTCGAATGTTTGTTCGCTAGATGTAGATTGCATTCTTTACATCAGTGGAACAAAACTTTAGCATTTTCATATTTGATGTCGTCGCAATAAAAAAAACAAAAAATATGAAAAATATCCAAAAAATATGAAAAGGCTAAAGTTTTTTCCCACTGGACAGGTCTGGTTTCAACCAATTATATAAAGAATTCAATATCTACTTCTAGCGAACAAACATTCGACATAGTTGCGTACAAATATTTAAAAAAAAATAATTTACACGTCCTGTTCTTTCCAATGAAACCGGACGACTGAGCCCGGCAAGTACCCGGTAAGTGTGAAAGCGTAATACAAAACTACGCACTACTACCACTTCGGTCACCGGTTAGCCTGTACACGGCAGCCGAGCTGGCAATGGTGGCGACCGGCTACAATTCGCTGGCCGTTCGCCGGATAGATCCTTCCGTCAAGTGTTAAAGCTGCCATAAGATTCTGTACACCTTGCTGCCGGGTAACCGGATCCGGTTAGCCGGTTCCGGTATGTGTGCAACGGGTGTAACTGTGTTCCTGTGTTTCGGGAGGTTTCGTGATGCTCTAGACCAAGGGTCGGCAACTGGCGGACCGCGGTCCAGATCCGGACCGCGGAAGGTAAAATACTGGACCGCCAAAAATTTTTTGAAAATATAAATTACTCAAATAAATTATTTGAAAAATATTTTTTTACGTTTGAGTGCCACCCTTATCATTTTTTCTAGTATTTTACAATTGTGACTGATTTCAGTTCTTAATGCAAATGAAAATAAAAAATTAGTAAGAAATATGAATTTTTTTCTGGACCTCGTTAAAAAATTTCAAAAGTATTTGGACCCCACGTAAAATTACTTGCCGACCCCTGGTCTAGACAGCGTTCACAACAACGAAAGGACTGGCGTCTATGAGCAAAACGGAGTAACAAAAACATTGAAGCTGTGCACTCTGCAGGGAAGTCTGATCTTACTCAAATATATCTTAAGATATTTGACGTATTTAAACTGAAACTTGGGCTAAAGTCTTAAAATTATAGGCAAAAAATCATGTATTTGCTATACAAAGAACCCCCCACACTTCTTGTGGAAAGTAGCTTTCGACTCATTTTTTTTTAAACTTTGCTATGTGATAGGATCAAAAGTCTCAACGGGCACAAAGTCCTTTGATTTGGACCTACGTCCCCTGAAAGTTGAATTTTTGCCCTTACGCTGCATAGTGAGAATACAACAATGATATTTTTGTAAAAGTACATTATGTTCATAGTAAATAGACCTTGCCCGATAGATTAGAGGTGTTTTCGACTTCCGGTTCCGACCAGAAGTAATCTTTCACGAGAATCGGCACAAGGTTAATTTCAAAGGTCATTTAGTGCTCAAAAAACGCATTTTAGAAAAAAATATTTTAAACAACTGATTCCGGTCCGAATAGGCTACTTCCGGTCGGAACTGGAAGTTCAAAGCATCTCTAATCGATCGGGTTAGGTCTGCTTACTATGAATGTAATATAATTATAAAAAAAAAATCATTGCTTACTATCCAACGTGAGGATACAAAAAATCAACTTTCAGGGGCCGTAGGTCCAAACCAAAAGACTTGAGCCCATTGAGACTTTTGATTCACGCGATCAGAACTATCACATAGCAAAGTTTCAAAAAAATTTGCAGAAAAACACTTTTCATAATGATTGTGCGGTGTCTGGGTCAACCAGTAGTGGAGATACTGGGAAAAACTGCAAATTTCAATACCAATAAAAATTTGGAAACTGAATAAATGTATTCCGGTTGGTATTACTCAAAAGAATTAAGGATTGTTCGACAACGAGCCATTTTTACGTGGTTTTTGAAATTAACTTCAATATTAGAGGATATTTTTGTAACCATTATAAGTACGAAGAAATCGTCGGTGTAAGAATTTTAAATATTAAAGTTATTTTTTTACGTATGTTTATTCTCTATTCTCTATTTAAATAGAAAAGAATTCTATTTTTTTTTGTGGAACGAATAGTTACTCTCGATTTACTCACTGTCAGGTTTATTTTAGTTAAAAAAATACTAATTAACAAGTTAGTCATTTTTTTAAACAAAATTGAAGACATCTTTTTTGTTTACTAAACGGTATCGAAATTCTAGGGTTCGCAACTATTTTTAACAAACCTGGTTAGGTTTTCATTGTAATAAACTGTATTGCCTGATTTAATATTACAATATAAATTATATTATCTTCTACATGTTATACTTTTTAAATGTTTACTTACTTTCTTTATATTGCAGTACATTAGGATGTTTCTCGTGAATCACAACACATCTGTAACAAGCCCGCTTGCTGAAACAAAATTTTGCATAAATAATAATCATCGAACTCAGTGTCAAAAAATGTTTAAAAACGGTTTAAAATTTCTGGATAATCAACGTTATTATGCAAATGTACATTAAGTGTGTCCATGAAAAATACCGTTTAAACTGTAGAGGATCTACAAGATGTCGGCAGTATAAGTAACATACATCAATGCATTATAGTATAGAACAAAATACGCAAATACAAATGTCAGAAAACTACACAACATATGCCCTAATTGTAACAACTGAGAAGGTATGCTTTACCGTTAATAAAACCTGGGGAATGAAACCAAGAGTGGTCATGTGGATATACACTGATGGCCGAAAGTCCAGCAGGCGATAGCTAAACAATAGCTCAGCCAGGTACAAAGAATTCACTGTCTGGAGCATAACTGGAGCTATGCGAACAACATCCACCATAGCAATGGGGGTAATGCTGCGTCTGCCACCTCTGGATATCTATCTAAGAGAAGTGGCCTTGACAACTGTGCTTCGCCTCAAGAACTTTGGTTTCAAACCGGATGTAGGGTGTGGAGACGTTAGGAGTCGCCTAAGGCATGGGCCCTCAGGAAGATGCCCCCTCTGCAGACACTGACAATATTTTCCTCCAGTTTGCGTTTGACAGACCCTACACAGTAAGAGACAAGAGGAGACCACCGGCGAGGATGTAGTCAACGTCTTCACGGACGGATCAAAACGAGAGAAGTTGCAGGATGTGGAATTTATTCTACATCCCTGCATATATATTGCAAGTAGTCGCACGTAGTCGCACTGCGGGTAAAACCATCAGACAGTAACAAGCATTACTGATCTTACGTAATCATAAGATAATAAGTAAGTCAGAATGGGAATGCCACCAGGCATTAGTCATGGCCTCAGCTTCCAATAGCATATCTGTTTGCTGGGTCAAGGGACACAATACAATGGCAATAAAGAAGCTGATGAGCTAGCCAGGAGTGCATCGGGTCCTTCCAGTGTACTTCCGCTGTCAACACTTGAAATTATTAAGGAAAACACCCACACAGAGTTTATAAAACGGTGGGATGAAACAAATAGCTGTCAATTTATNATAAAAAATTAGTAAGACATATGAATTTTTTTCTGGACCTCGTTAAAAAATTTCAAAAGTATTTGGACCCCACGTAAAATTACTTGCCGACCCCTGGTCTAGACAGCGTTCACAACAACGAAAGGACTGGCGTCCATGAGCAAAACGGAGTAACGAAAACATTGAAGCTGTGCACTCTGCAGGGAAGTCTGATCTTACTCAAATATATCTTAAGATATTTGACGTATTTAAACTGAAACTTGGGCTAAAGTCTTAAAATTATAGGCAAAAAATCATGTATTTGCTATACAAAGAACCCCCCACACTTCTTGTGGAAAGTAGCTTTCGACTCATTTTTTTTTAAACTTTGCTATGTGATAGGATCAAAAGTCTCAACGGGCACAAAGTCCTTTGATTTGGACCTACGTCCCCTGAAAGTTGAATTTTTGCCCTTACGCTGCATAGTGAGAATACAACAATGATATTTTTGTAAAAGTACATTATGTTCATAGTAAATAGACCTTGCCCGATAGATTAGAGGTGTTTTCGACTTCCGGTTCCGACCAGAAGTAATCTTTCACGAGAATCGGCACAAGGTTAATTTCAAAGGTCATTTAGTGCTCAAAAAACGCATTTTAGAAAAAAATATTTTAAACAACTGATTCCGGTCCGAATAGGCTACTTCCGGTCGGAACTGGAAGTTCAAAGCATCTCTAATCGATCGGGTTAGGTCTGCTTACTATGAATGTAATATAATTATAAAAAAAAAATCATTGCTTACTATCCAACGTGAGGATACAAAAAATCAACTTTCAGGGGCCGTAGGTCCAAACCAAAAGACTTGAGCCCATTGAGACTTTTGATTCACGCGATCAGAACTATCACATAGCAAAGTTTCAAAAAAATTTGCAGAAAAACACTTTTCATAATGATTGTGCGGTGTCTGGGTCAACCAGTAGTGGAGATACTGGGAAAAACTGCAAATTTCAATACCAATAAAAATTTGGAAACTGAATAAATGTATTCCGGTTGGTATTACTCAAAAGAATTAAGGATTGTTCGACAACGAGCCATTTTTACGTGGTTTTTGAAATTAACTTCAATATTAGAGGATATTTTTGTAACCATTATAAGTACGAAGAAATCGTCGGTGTAAGAATTTTAAATATTAAAGTTATTTTTTTACGTATGTTTATTCTCTATTCTCTATTTAAATAGAAAAGAATTCTATTTTTTTTTGTGGAACGAATAGTTACTCTCGATTTACTCACTGTCAGGTTTATTTTAGTTAAAAAAATACTAATTAACAAGTTAGTCATTTTTTTAAACAAAATTGAAGACATCTTTTTTGTTTACTAAACGGTATCGAAATTCTAGGGTTCGCAACTATTTTTAACAAACCTGGTTAGGTTTTGATTGTAATAAACTGTATTGCCTGATTTAATATTACAATATAAATTATATTATCTTCTACATGTTATACTTTTTAAATGTTTACTTACTTTCTTTATATTGCAGTACATTAGGATGTTTCTCGTGAATCACAACACATCTGTAACAAGCCCGCTTGCTGAAACAAAATTTTGCATAAATAATAATCATCGAACTCAGTGTCAAAAAATGTTTAAAAACGGTTTAAAATTTCTGGATAATCAACGTTATTATGCAAATGTACATTAAGTGTGTCCATGAAAAATACCGTTTAAACTGTAGAGGATCTACAAGATGTCGGCAGTATAAGTAACATACATCAATGCATTATAGTATAGAACAAAATACGCAAATAAAAATGTCAGAAAACTACACAACATATGCCCTAAATGTAACAACTGAGAAGGTATGCTTTACTAATAATTCACTTTAAATACGACGAAAATAAAAAACTAATGAATGTAAATATACAGAGTGTAAGGAAATAAGTGTGAAAAAAAATCTCTCTTCTCTTCGAATTTATTGCCTTCAAACGGAGAGAGAAAAATTTTGTTTTTATTTTTTCCCCACATATGGAGAAAATTGCAACTATGGAATTACGTAAATTTTTTACATTTTGCATACCAGGGGTAGAAGTAACTACACCTTTACAAGTATTTTTTTATATTTGCTTTAAATAGCTTGATTTTTTTAGACTAAATTTGATAAATAGTTTTCATAAAAGTACCTAATCGCGCACGGACGTGAAATACCTAGGAGTCACACTCGATGCAAAACAAACAGAATATTTTGAAAGGATATTAAAAAGGCAGTGCCTATGAGCAGTGCCGCAGGACCGTTAATAAAACCTGGGGAATGAAACCAAGAGTGGTCATGTGGATATACACTGATGGCCGAAAGTCCAGCAGGCGATAGCTAAACAATAGCTCAGCCAGGTACAGAATTCACTGTCTGGAGCATAACTGGAGCTATGCGAACAACATCCACCATAGCAATGGGGGTAATGCTGCGTCTGCCACCTCTGGATATCTATCTAAGAGAAGTGGCCTTGACAACTGTGCTTCGCCTCAAGAACTTTGGTTTCAAACCGGATGTAGGGTGTGGAGACGTTAGGAGTCGCCTAAGGCATGGGCCCTCAGGAAGATGCCCTCTCTGCAGACACTGACAATATTTTCCTCCAGTTTGCGTTTGACAGACCCTACACAGTAAGAGACAAGAGGAGACCACCGGCGAGGATGTAGTCAACGTCTTCACGGACGGATCAAAACGAGAGAAGTTGCAGGATGTGGAATTGATTCTACATCCCTGCATATATATTGCAAGTAGTCGCACGTAGTCGCACTGCGGGTAAAACCATCAGACAGTAACAAGCATTACTGATCTTACGTAATCATAAGATAATAAGTACGTCAGAATGGGAATGCCACCAGGCATTAGTCATGGCCTCAGCTTCCAATAGCATATCTGTTTGCTGGGTCAAGGGACACGAGCAATACAATGGCAACAAAGAAGCTGATGAGCTAGCCAGGAGTGCATCGGGTCCTTCCAGTGTACTTCCGCTGTCAGCACTTGAAATTATTAAGGAAAACACCCACACAGAGTTTATAAAACGGTGGGATGAAACAAATAGCTATCAATTTATTAAGGAATTACCACAGATAAACCAATATTATACCAATAGATATTATCAGTTCTTGAATCTATTGCCTTGTATATAGAGTTTTAAATGGCCTCATATACAAACATTTACAGTATTTAAATCGAGTATTCGAGGAGACCAAAATTGATGGCCGCCAGGATTAATATTAATTGTCTTGCTTTTACAAAAAAAATGGCCAAGAACTCCATAACTCATAAACCAAAGCTGAGCTGTGTCATCTAGGGATATATCTTCAAAAAGTACTGGAAATACTTTTCCGAGAAAGTGAGTGTATTTATCTCCTTTCAATCCATGTGGCACGAATTACGAATGCACGAATCCAATTCATACATTCTGAGAAAACTGTTGTTGATGATGACGAATTTTGGCTAAGGTATATGGATTTTCTTTTATCCAAATGTGGTTATCATGATAATTAATTATTATTGATTCTCTTGAAATATTCGCTTCTTCTGTTAACATGATCCGTGCCCAATATTTTACAAAATGCATTGAGAAATTGCAAAATGTAAATCTCGTAGTAAAATAGTGAAAGAGGATTCTTTGTATGTAAAAGGGTATAAAAGTTGTTCTTTTGAGATGGCCCACATGGTTGATATTTAACTTCAAAGCACTGTCTAGTTCTGGTATCCGGTTCTTCATCAATCAAAATTCAGTACCGCTTCTTCCTAAACTCGCGTTTGGATTTCACGGTGACAACCACAATCATAAGTTTATTTTGCATGCAAGTAAGGTGTGATGAAAGATCTATTACTGGCAAGATCATAAACAAAATGTATTTCGATCATTTCGATATTAGTGTAGCTTTGCATATTGCAATACATCAAATGTGCACAAAACAATGTACTCAAAGTAACGGTAAACACATTAAATGACCACATTGGTCGTAGAAAGAGTTATGCATGAAATTACTTGTAGGTATGATTCTATTTCTTGCGACTGAAGGGGAAGAGCAATACATTATCCACTAAATGCTTTTTCTATTGTGGAAATGTGTACATAATTTCAATTAATTTACAACTTTGCCCTTACTAAGAAATATAAACAAAAAATGTAAAAGAAGGTTTTTTACATGAATTTTCAAAGAAGAATCACCTCCTTTATTTGTTGCACTTACTTTTTGCACCCTGTATATGGTCGCAATAAGAAAAGAACATTTTAATTTCTCGATTCATTGAAATTTAATAAGCATTGAAATTATCCAGGAAATTAATAATATTTTAAGAAATCACAATCAAACTTACTCATCAACAACTAAAAACTTATCTCCCTCGAAGCCCAAACATCTTCCTTTGTTGCTCAGCCTTGGTCCTTCGATGACGATCGGCTGGCGAACTCCGGATTGGAACCACGTGCCCTCCCATCGCACAGGGAAATAACAAGTCCCTGAAAACAGATAGGAGACTCATGTAGATAATACAGATGCATGGCCGGGCTGGAGGGCCAGTCAAATTCCAACCGCAGATCGGATAATTTATGTCCTTAGTTTTCTTTTTGTTGTGATAAATTTTAGTTCTAGTTCGCAATGTCGCAGCGGCAAAAATTAACTATCGGGGAGCAATTCCAGGGGGATTTAGAGCGAGCTTTGTATTTGGCTGAGGAGTAAACAGTTCGGTGCAAATTTGGTTTTATTCAGATGCTCGCAGTTTGTTCGAAAACTTTTCAATTGTAAAGGAATTTTACGACTAGATACGCGGGACAATTAAATTCATTAAACACTGTACAAACTCATCTGTTATATTTTGGCTGTAAGGATATCTCGATTAATACTTTTTAAGAAAAAAATGGAAAATACAACAATTATAAGTATTTCTAAAAGTTTATAATTATAATATGTATTGATTCCATACAAATGAGACTATCCGATGAAACAAACCCAAGTAAAATGGGGAATCAAAAAGATCTATTTGTAGTATGTTCATCTTTGTCAGAAGTAATGAGGAAATAAAAAAATACAAAATACTACCTTGAATAATCAAATTATGTAGGCACTAATTCTGTTAATGTTGAATTTTCAAGAAATTGTCATGGCAACTTTTATCATTATTTTTATTCCCTACTGATGAGTTTAATTCTAAACTAGCCTTTACCGTACCTTAACCTTAAACCCTTGTATTTGTCTTAACGTTAATATTTTCATCTTATTTACAAAAATCTGATCTTAACTTAATTTACAAATTACTTAATTTTAAGAACTGGTCAGCGACGCCAGAAAAGAAAAAGCGGACTTTTGGGCACGCGCACTTATTGTGGTCTGATCTTAGTCTTATAAAGTTGAAAGTTAGAAACTTTTAAAATCAAATCCTCAAACTTTATCAGGCTACTAGGAATGTTTAGTGCAACAGTGCGTTCGAGAAGTAACGCAAAAAATTCGTATTTTATTTTGTAATGGGTTTTCACAAAAACGCTAAAACACGTCAATTAGTAAATAGGAATTGTCGTTTTGTCACGTTGCTTAAATCTTTTTTGCGCTATGTTTCATAAACCTACGACGTCATTGACATTTTTTTAAATAGCACTACCTAATTTTTTAAGCATAAATGAATAGCCCCTTTGAAGGGAAATACGTCGATAAAGGGTTTGGCCTACTTTAATTAGACAGGTACGAAAAAAAAACGAACGATTGTGAAAAAATGTGTTTTGGTTGGTTGTAGGTACATGTTTTTATGTAGATTTGGTAGGTGGTACACCCGATCACAGCGGCTATATAGGCACTGTTTTGAAGACAACAGTTAGCGAATGCAATAATGCCTCATATCATTGTGACAGTTACAAATACCATAACTTTACATGACGATGGTGTTGCCTTTAAATGAGAAACAAAGAATTGAAATCCTGATTATGGTTGGATACGAAGAAAGAATCCGTAGTTACGATGAAGTATGCCAATTATTCAATGCCAAGTATCCAGAACAACCAATACCTCCGTCTACAGTATGCAGATTAGTACGCTGGACATGTTAGAGATGTCTAGATCTGGAAGGCCAACGACAGTGACGGAAAATGATATGCAAAATGTTACGTTTAGCTGTCACTGAAAATCCACACACTATCGTTCGTCCTATCGCCGAAAACGCCAGCATATCAATTCATAAAAACATGTACCTACAATCAACCAGAACACAAAACATCTACAAATTCCCATTTTTTTGCTGTGGCAATGTTCTCGCATTATGGCATCTACTTTTGTTGTTATTCTAAACCATGTCCATTCCAATCATTGGCTCCTGTCAAAGTAAAGTAGGCCAAACCCTATATCGACGCATTTTCCTTCAAAAGAGCTATCCATTTATGCTTAAAAAATTAGGTACTGCTATTTAAAAAAATATCGATGACGTCATAGGTTTATGAAACATAGCGCAAAAACGGTTTAAGCAACGTGACAAAGTGACAATTCCTATTTACTAATTGACGTGTTTTAGCGTTTTTGCGAATACGCAACACAAAATAAAATACGAATTTTTTGCGTTACTCCTGAGAGACTGTATAAATCCGCACATTGAATCCTACTATGTATTTAACTTCACAGGGCAAAAATTAAAGCTAAATAATGATTAAAGGTGAGAATTTTTCATAAACACCGTATTTTTGCCCATTGTATCCGAGCATCCCATAGCTATAATTAAGTAAACGGAATCAAAATATATNCCTACTGATTTAATCCTAAACTAGCCTTAACCGTACCTTAACCTTAAACCCTGGTATTTATCTTAACGTTCATATTTTCATCTTATTTACAAAAATCTGATCTCAACTTAATTCACAAATTACTTAATTTTAAGAACTGGTCAGCGACGCCAGAAAAGAAAAAGCGGACTTTTGGGCACGCGCACTTATTGTGGTCTGATCTTAGTCTTAGAAAGTGGAAAGTTAGAAACTTTTAAAATCAAATCCTCAAACTTTATCAGGCTACTAGGAATGTTTAGTGCAACAGTGCATCCGAGAAGTAATGCAAAAAATTCGTATTTTTTTTTGTGATGGGTTTTCACAAAAACGCTAAAACACGTCAATTAGTAAATAAGAATTGTCGTTTTGTCACGCTGCTTAAATCTTTTTAGCGCTATGATTCATAAACCTATGACGTCATCGACATATTTTTTTTAAATAGCACTACCTAATTTTTTAAGCATAAATGAATAGCCCCTTTGAAGGGAAATGCGTCGATATAGGGTTTGGCCTACTTTAATTAGACAGGTACGAAAAAAAAGCCAACGATTGGAATGGACATGGTTTGAAGTAATAACAAAAGCAGGTATCACAAAAAATGTGTTTTGGTTGGTTGTAGGTACATGTTTTTATGTAGATTGGGTAGGTGGTACACCCGATCACAGCGGCTATATAGGCATTGTTTTGAAGGCAACAGTTAGCGAATGCAATAGTGTCTCATATCATTGTGACAGTTACAAATATCATAACTTTACATTACGATGGTGTTGCCTTTAAATGAGAAACAAAGAATTGGAATCCTAATTATGGTTTGATACGGAGAAAGAATCCGTAGTTATGATGAAGTATGGCAGTTATTCAATGCCAAGTATCCAGAACAACCAATACCTCCGTCTACAGTATGCAGATTAGTACGCTGGACATGTTAGAGATCTGTCTAGATCTGGAAGGCCAACGATAGTGACGGAAAATGATGTGCAAAATGTTACGTTTAGCTGTCACTGAAAATCCACACACTATCGTTCGTCCTATCGCCGAAAACGCCAGCATATCAATTCATAAAAACATGTACCTACAATCAACCAGAACACAAAACATCTACAAATTCCCATTTTTTGCTGTGGCAATGTTCCCGCATTATGACATCTGCTTTTGTTGTTATTCTAAACCATGTCCATTCCAATCATTGGCTCCTGTTAAAGTAAAGTAGGCCAAACCCTATATCGACGCATTTTCCTTCAAAAGGGCTATCCATTTATGCTTAAAAAATTAGGTACTGCTATTTAAAAAATATCGATGACGTCATAGGTTTATGACACAAAGCGCAAAAAAGGTTTAAGCAACGTGACAAAATGACAATTCCTACTTACTAATTGACATGTTTTAGGCGTTTTTGCGAATACGCAGCACAAAATAAAATACGAATTTTTTACGTTACTCCTGAGACACACTGTATAAATCCACACATTGAATCCTACTATGTATTTAACTTCATAGGGCAAAAATTAAAGCTAAATAATGATTAAAGGTGAGAATTTTTCATAAACACCATATTTTTGCCCATTGTATCCGAGCATCCCATAGCTATAATTAAGTAAACGGAATCAAAATATATTTCTTTGTCTATTTAATTTTTAAATTCTAATAAAAAATTAGAAATATTATTGCCTGTAAATAAAGTTGGCACTTTCAGTTTATTGTTACATTTATAAATAAAATTCCTGTACGTCTCAGCACCTACACCCGTATTCGGTCTCTACGATGACAGTAATAATAAAACAATTATTTACAACTGGTATGTAATAGCTAATTACTGAAAATATATCATTAAAATACAGAACGTTTTTTGAGTGCCTGACTCTAAACATCAAGATAAGAATTAAGATAATATTATAAATATACAGGGTGATTTAGTCATAATGTCATTAATTTTAACCACGTTCTCGGAAGGCCTAATAAAGACAGAACCAAGAAATTTTTTTAGACCATTTAAAAGATAAGCAAATTATCCTTTAACTCCGCTAATTCATCGCTCTGACATTTTCTGCCGGCGGACCACAAAACATTCGAACATTGAAGCGAAACAGTGTTGCCACATCAGAACCACACAAATAATAATACAATATTCAAATCTACCACCCCCTTAATCGCATCTTCCGCATTGTTTTCCCGCAAATTTGGAGATCACGTCATACATATGGAGAGGGTATGCAGTATACAGAATGCAATGTAACCCGCAGTTTATTTCGGATTGTTTCGCGTGTCGGTACTAATGGATAATTTTGCTAATTTTTAATATACAGAAATGGTGGTTTTATATGTAGAATATTTACGAATGCGAATGCCGTTACAGCAGAATATCAGAGGCGTTTCCCTCATTCACAGCATTTTCCGAGTCCGCTAACCTTCGTGCAAGTTTTTTAACATCTTCGCATCTTCAACTCGTTTTCGCAAATTGTAAAATCCTTCTACAAAAGTTCTCTATGTCCCATGTCTGGTTATTGAGATATTGTATACCTAAAATTTCACTGCTTAGAAAATTTACATTAGTATGTTAATAAAAAAACTGTTTTTTTGGCAAGGCATGGTCATACCTCCTCGACATCCTTGCTGGCCAACAATAGCAATTTAATATGTTAATTGCATACTTTTAAATAATAATTTATATCACTCATTACATATTTTAACATTTTAAATTATTATTGGCTAATGTGACCAAG